AATGCTTGATTCACGTTGTGGCGGAACCAGCCTCGCCACTGGGCATTGGAGAAAACTGGTTGCCAGCCTCCTGCCATGTGACTATGGTCCCTGGGATGTATTGCCTGCTCTCCTGTACTGCTAAAGATTGCTACCAACTAGGTGGATTTGACTATGGAGCTTGTGTAGTGCACTCTGTTGGTAGCAACAGTAATATGCACTACCTGAATAGCAAGACTGGTAATTTGCATGTTCGGGTAGATTTGCATATTGCTAATTCTGCATGCAGGAGAGACATTTTGTGTTAATTATGGTCTTCCTCACCCATTTATAAATATGTAATTATGTTATAATAAGTCACTGTATGTTGCCTGCTATGATTTGACTGTTTGTAATTTTATTGAGTTTTCACAGCAATTTTAATGTAATGACCATATGGGCTAGTCCCAAGTAAATAAAGTTTTAGACAGTTCTACTTCACCCTCAATTTGGAGTCCTGTCTCTTTTTGGGTGGGGAATCTGCTACAAGAGATTGCTATGCACTGCATATTCCCTTGCTATAATCACTCCTAAGCTCTTTTAAGAGCTCGTTCCTGCTTCGCTCTGAAGCAAGAGAAGTTTGACCTGTGGTGGTTGTGGTGTTGGCTAGAGTGCTTGGAATCCTCAAGAAGCGCTAGGAGCATCCATCAACGGAGGTACCCAGTCGGGGTGCCAGGTGATCCGTTACACACATGGTATCGTATGATGTGAAATGTTGTGATGTGCCATGATCTCATGTACATTCATGTCATTAACCATTTCCTTGCCTTCCAATAACTACATTTTCCAAGCAGGTTACTAGCTTGTTTAGCTGCTATAGGCGAAATTACTGAAGAGTCAGTAATAAATGTAGTGAGGGATGAAGTTATAAAAATATAATTAGACAGAATACATATGTTGATGAATCGTAATAATGCGTTGTCCTAGGCCAAGTGATGTCACACTATTATAAGTTTGTATGCTTAACAAACCTTGAATCATTAGTAGATAAGTGTGAAACGAGTTCCTAATCCGTGAATGTCGAAAGATGTCCAAGAAGGACCCCAAGATTTCCATCATTTCATCGATGCAGCTTCCTGAGTTACAGACTTGGTACCAGATGCACCTCCAAAGAGCACAGGACCGTGTGCGAAACATCTTGTAGCAAGCCCGGAAACCATTTGTATCCAGTACTATTCCAATGAGCAACCGACCCAAAAGGTTCCTCACCGCTATAATTGTTGCATTAGTTTGTGCCACTGTCGGTGCAGTTGTCGCAACTGGAATGTCTGCAGCCAACTCTATTACTGTCCAAAAGCTGGATATGGAAATCTATGCGCTAAAGCAACACATTAACGATATTCATCAGGTGATAAACCAGCAAAGAACACTTCTCCAAGACATGTTAACTATTGTGGAAGACACAGTTGTTACAACAAATTTGCATTCGGAGTTAATTGCCAAATCCACTGAGTTGCACCAAAGTCATGACTTATTTAAGCGTGAACTTCTATTTCTGCATGACCCAATATTGTTCCACACACTTGCTTTTCTTGCCGAAGTGCAAACTGGAATGATCGAATTGGCAGGGGGACGCATACCTCTGTATTTTGTATCCAAGGATATTGTTCATGTGATGCTTGCCAATGTGGATGGAGAAACAATTGAGCTTATGCAATTAAATCTGGCCTTTGAGATGGGGAGTGCTATACCTCTCTTAATTGATCTAGAACGCATGGAGATTTGCTTTTTATTGGCCATACCATATGTAACTCCCAAAAACATTTTTCAAATGAAAACAATTTACTATGTTAATAATAATATTATGGTTGATTGTACTAAGTGTAAAGTTCAAAGCTCTTACAGGTACAAAAATATACAAAAATGTTAATTCTGCGCACAGGCCTATGTCAGTAGAAATGATGTGAGTGCACAATATGTCTGGTAACTTCTATAGTGCTTATTCATAGACTAAATTAATCATTGCTATGAAATTCACTAAGGGGGGATATGTCAGGATATTTATATCGCCAGACATTTTGTGCTAAGATAAAAATTAAAAGTGTATATTGCCAGAGTCACTCAGAACAGAGCGGACTCCATTTTGGATCTTCAGGCCAACAAAGACACATAATTTCTTCTTTCTTTCTGTAACTAGCCACTAGCCTGAGCTAAGGAATGCATTATATAAACAAGCCAAGTGATAAGCAATGAAGCAGGGGGATGGAATGCTCTGTTTAAATGTTAATAGAATAGAAATAATTTTAAACACAGACACTAGTGACAGAGAAGACTAAGTAATTAATTTTACTTTCTAAATTTTACAAGGTCCCATTGTAAGTAAGGGGTAAAATTGAGTTTAGAACTGTCAATTTTAGAAATTACGATCAAAGTAGATGCCACAAAGACTGAGACAAACGCTTTGAACTGACAGCAAATTTAAGTTATGGTAGTCATTTTAGATAAGCCAAATGACGTCAAAGTAGTCATCAGGAAAATTTAACTCTTTCCTGGATAGGAAGGTTTACTGAGGCGAGACTGCCCGCTATGGATCAAATACATAATTGCGATCTGAAGGTTGACCACACCTTCAGTATCCTATTGGCCTTATCAACTAATGACGTACAGAGAGTCTGGCCCTTTAAAAGTTAGGACAAAGGGAAGAGAGAGGTAGTTTTTGGGCATTCAGACTTGGACATGCAGAGAGACCCAGGACACTCTCTGGGACTAACACTCAACTCTCAAACTCTCTTGGACACAACTCAAGAAACACTCCTTGACACTTAGAATTTTACTGATACTTTCTAACCAACATCACTTTTCTTTATTACTCACGCACCTCCATACAACCAATCATACTCGCATCAAGTTCCTGGGACTACCTACTCATCTAATGAGAACATCTACATCATAACTGGTAATTATGCTGGTTTTATTTAATTAATCTTAGTTAACTAAAGAACATATAGTTATAAACATTCCATTCTGCAGGTGGAATTAAGAATAATTATATATTAATGTGATATTATCACGTGTTAGCATACCGCTGTTTTTATCCAGGTGTATTGATTTGCTCTAAAATTAGATAAGATATCTTTTTAGGCAAATTAAAATTCGGCTTATAGAATCTGGTAGATTATTCTTATTGGATGGTTCCAGGAAATGATTAATGAACTGGTTCAAATGTTATTTTAATTGAAAATCACAGGAGAATAGGATACTATATGCCTAGGAGGATCTAGCCAGCATTGAAAGGGTTACTCAGTTGATTTAACTGTTAGCCAAGGTTTCATGCTGGGCTGTGTGAAGTTTTGCTTTCTGTGTCTGTGAAGTACCCTCATAAATCTTGTAAGTTTGTGACAGTTGATGCTGTTAACCATTGGATTGTTTTTAATATTGCCATTGTATTACATACTTATGTTATAATAAATATTCACTGATTATTATCATGCATGCTGCCTAATATTATTGTTATTTTATTTGTCACAATAAATTATATCTATTTTTAGAACAAATTGTGATTTTATTTGTATGGAATACATTTCACTTACATGATAACGATCTCTAAGATCCAAGATTGGGTAACTAAAATTATAGATCAGGGTGGTTCAGTAGACATTGCTTACCTATATTTCAGTAAGGCTTTTGACACTGTTGCACATAGAAGGCTTATCAATAAACTGCAATCTTTAAGTTTGGATTCAAATATTGTTGAATGGTGAGTGACAGGCAACAGAGGGTTGTAGTTAATGGAATATATTCGAAGCTTGGACTTGTCACCAGTGGGGTACCTCAGGGATCTGTACTTGGACCCATTCTCTTTAATATTTTTATTAGTGATATTGCAGAAGGTCTTGATGGTAAGGTATGTCTTTTTGCTGATGATACTAAGATATGTAACAGGGTTGATGTTCCAGGAGGGATAAGCCAAATGGCAAATGATTTAGGTAAACTAGAAAAATGGTCAGAATTGTGGCAACTGACATTTAATGTGGATAAGTGCAAGATAATGCATCTTGGACGTAAAAACCCAAGGGCAGAGTACAGAATATTTGATAGAGTCCTAACCTCAACATATGAGGAAAGGGATTTAGGGGTGATTATTTCTGATGACTTAAAGGTAGGCAGACAATGTAATAGAGCAGCAGGAAATGCTAGCAGAATGCTTGGTTGTATAGGGAGAGGTATTAGCAGTAGAAAGAGGAAAGTGCTCATGCCATTGTACAGAACACTGGTGAGACCTCACTTGGAGTATTGTACACAGTACTGGAGACCGTATCTTCAGAAGGATATTGATACCTTAGAGAGGGTTCATAGAAGGGCTACTTAACTGGTTCATGGATTGCGGGATAAAACTTACCAGGAAAGGTTAAAGGATCTTAACATGTATAGTTTGGAGGAAAGACGAGACAGGGGGGATATGATAGAAACATTTAAATATATAAAGGGAATCAACACAGTAAAGGAGGAGACTATATTTAAAAGAAGAAAAACTACCACAACAAGAGAACATAGTCTTAAATTAGAGGGACAAAGGTTTAAAAATAATATCAGGAAGTATTACTTTACTGATAGGATAGTGGATGCATGGAATAGCCTTCCAGCTGAAGTGGTAGAGGTTAACACAGTAAAGGAGTTTAAGCATACGTGGAATAGGCATAAGGCTATCCTAACTATAAGATAAGGCTGGGTACTAATGAAAGTATTTAGAAAATTGGGCAGACTAGATGGGCCGAATGGTTCTTATCTGCCGTCACATTCTATGTTTCTATGTTTCTATGTTAAGAGAATTGAAATAGTGGGCAATTCTCAACTGTATATTATTATCATCCCATAAATATCCCCACAATCCATTGCTTCAAAAACATGTAATGTTAATATATTCCTTTTTAGTAAAAAATTGCTTTGGTAGTGGTGTTGATTCCGGTGTGATGCAAGTAGGGAGGTTCCACTTTCTTGTAACCGTGTAAGCATGCAGAAGCCAAACACAGAAATATTGGACACAGGTCTTCAGGAAGTAACAGGCCTTTATTCACATTACCGATCGGGTCTCAGATGAACTCCTGTTCCAACATTCTGAGAGCCCAACACATAGTGTACATTCCTTATATAGCACTATAACTCCTCCCATTAATAGCTACACCCACATATACCTTTAACCAATCAATGAGCAGAATATAGACTTGTACATCTAGTCAAACCACATGGCTCATCCAAGACAAAGGATACTAATCAGATACTAAGTAGCATATGCCATGTGGAGATTTTGGCCTACTAAATTTTGACCATGCTGGAATCCCATCACATTCTGTTATGTTACTTACTATTCCTCTTTGCTTTTAGATCGGGAGACCAGCCGCGGGAGAGCAATATGATTGTCTGAGGCCAGTAACTACTACCAACATAAGTAATGCTGAATAACTTCTAAAGCTCTCAAATCTATCACAGATTATACAAATACAATATCTGTAATTGTTTAGTAAATACTGATCAGTGACACTTGTGATGGAGAACTTGAAGGCCAGCCTCCTGGGGCTTGAGAATGTGGCTTGTCTGAGAGGTACCTGGGATACCTGGGGCTTGAGAGCACTCCCCTTCCCAGAGGTCCGGGATCACCTTTTGGTAGACTGGGAAAAAGCCATCACATGCCTGGAATTCCTCGCCGAGACCCAGTAAAACTTTACCCACACTGTAACTCGGGGGCGGATTCTGCAATCAGGGCACTATTTGGACAGCAAGGGTGCTCTGTGTCAAGCTTTCCACTGAACTGATTGACAGTTGAGGAAGGGACCAACGTTTTCTAAAAATGTTTATATTTGCTTGCACAATATATAGGTTCATTTTAAAGCTTTTTAAATATATAATATATATGATCAGACTTGTGCATGTCCAAAAATTTGGTTCGTCGAAATAGAATCGCCTGAAAAAAAATCTGAAATATTTTGGGGGATTCAGGTTTCATCCGTGTGGCGTTTCAGTTCTGACAAATTTCATCCATGTGATCATTTTGGGGAAAAAATGCTTCAGATGAACCAAAATAGCACAAAAAATATTAGGTTTATATTTTGCAGGACACTGATAGGTGGTGTCACAGATCAAGTGAGAAGTAACCAATAGGTTAATTAAAGGATCAGTCGAACATTTCTATTTCTATATTATATGGTTAGTAAATACACAGTATAGAAATATAGAGAGAGATTTTTTTTTTTTACTTCTCCACTTTTTTCCTCTATTTGATACCATTCTCTCATTCTGTGAATAAAATCTAAATTTTGTTGTGATCCTCTAATCACCAATCACCTTTATTCTTTGACACCGCGGACAGAACTCGGAATCACAAAATGAATGGCTCGTCCGTTCCTTATTTAGTTTGTTTTGTGGCGTGTGGACAAGTCATGACATTTACAGGGAATGGGAGAAATTCCTCATGTGAAAACCAACACCCGAGAGGTCTGCTTTAATGCATGCTGACATCATGAACATGATTGTTGTATGTGATGACATTCTGTGTCTGTTAGCGTGTGATCGTAGGAGATATTCCCGGGATATTTGCCCTTTTAATTCCAGATCTTCTCTCGTACTCTTTACCCCTTTCAGCAACGGCTACTGGACACACGATCCAGAAAGCAAGCATAAACACTAACATGCTCTCCGGACAGTCTATTAGTATGTATAGATTGTATATTTCAGTGATAAACCTGGCACCTGTGATACATAGTATTGTAGTAACATGAGGGATCTGCTGCGCAGGACACAAACAGGACAACCCTGACCACAACAACCATAAACTCCGGCAATGCCCCATTAGTTCCATACCGGCCCTGGAGCCCCTGCAGCCCTCCCTGGCCCCACTGACCCCATAGCCACCGCAGCCCTCCCAGACCCCTTAGACTCTCCCAAGCCCCCATAGCCTCTGCAGGCCCCGCAGCCATCCAAGGCCCCGCAGCCCTCTCAGGAGGGAACTTGAAGCAGCTACTTGTGGACTCATACCAGCAGGGCCGGCCTTAGGCAATTAGGCGCCCTGTGCAAAAAGTCTTCACGGCGCCCCCCCCACCTCCCACCAAGTTGCCTGAATACAGTAACACACACAGGCACCGGGGACGTGTGTATCACGAGGCAAACAAGGCATCTGCCTTGGGCGCCACTTTGCAGGGGGCGGCAAAAAAAAGCATCCCTCCAAACCCCCAGGCAGATCCCTTGCTTGCCTCGCATCCTGGGGGGCTCAAGAGCTGACCGGCTGGCCACTTTTGAGCCCCCCCAAGGCTGGCAGCGGGCAGCGAAGGAGCATACTCACCTGAGCTCTTCCTGCTCAGCTTCCTCTGCGCCGCTTAATGAAGCCGGGAGCCAGAATATGACGTCAGTCCGGCTCCCGGCATCACTAAGCGCTGCTTACTCAGCCTGTGCGCCCCCTGCCTGCCTGCCCAGCAGCCACACTGGACTGCTGGTAAGAAATCCACTCCAGCTTTCCCAGGGAGGCTGGGTGGATTTAAAATAAATGTAAAAAATATTAGTTTGTGAGTGTTAGTGGAAATGTCTGTGTGTGTGTCTGTGAGTGTTTATTTTGAAGTGAATGTGTGTGTGTGTGTGTGTGTCTGTAAGTGTGTAATTGTGTGTGTCTGTAAGTGAATGTGTGTGTGTCTGTGAGTGAATGTGTGTGTCAGTCAGTGAGTGTATATGTGTCAGTCAGTGAGTGTGTATGTGTCAGTCAGTGAGTGTGTATGTGTCGTCAGTGAGTGTGTGTCGGTCAGTGAGTGTGTAAGTCAGTGAGTGTGTAAGTGTCGGTCAGTGTGTGTGTGTCGGTCAGTGAGTGTGTGTCGGTCAGTGAGTGTGTGTCAGTCAGTGTGTATGTGTCGGTCAGTGGAGTCGTGCATCTTTCAGTGAGTGCTTGCGTCTGTCAGTGAGAGTGTGCATCTGTCAGTGTGTGTCCAAGTAATAGTGTATGTGTGTATGTCATTGTTTGTCAGTGTATATGAGAGTGTGTGTCTGTCAGTGAGTGTGCGTCTGTCAGTGAGTGAGCGTCTGTCAGTCAAAGTGCGGCCTTGACAGGAAGGGGTGGGGGAAATTTAAACTCGGTTACAGGCATGTACACACACACTCAGTTAAAGGCAGTCACACATACAGGCACAGGCACAAACAATGGCACAGCTACAGCGACACACACAGACAGACAGTCACATAGGCAGTCACACACACAGACAGACACACAGTAACACACACATAGACAGTTATACACACACAGGCAGGCAGTCACACAGATAGAAAGTCACACACACAGGCAGGCAGTCACACACAGACAGATAGTTACAGACAGACACACACAGGCAGGCAGGCAGTCACATACAGGCAGTCACACACACAGACAGACAGTCACACACACAGACAGACAGTCTCACACACACAGGCAGTCACACACACGGGCAGTCACACAGACAGACAGTCACACAGACAGACAGTCACACAGACAGACAGTCACAGTCACATACATGGGCAGTCACATACATGGGCAGTCACACAGACAGACAGTCACACACACAGACAGTCACACACAGGCAGGCAGTCACACACAGAGACAGTCACACACAGAGACAGACACACACACACACACACACAAGGACAGGCAGTCACACAGACAGTCACACACACACACAGACAGTCACACGCACACAGGCAGGCAGTCACACAGACAGACAGTCACACACACACACAGACAGACAGTCACACAAACAGGCAAACAGTCACACACACACACTTACCTCTTTCCAGTGGATGCAGTTGGCTGATGGGGAAGCATCTTTCCCTCTTCCTGTACAGCAGGGGCTTCGGGAGGTATTAGCCCCGTCTCCGCCTCTCGATAAGCCCCGCCTCCGCCGCTCGGTAAACCCCGCCCCCTCTGCCGCGATTTTTTTTTTTTTTAAATAGACCCGGGTGGAGAACAATTAATCCTCCAGCCAGGTACCTCTTTTAGCTCCCCTGCACTCCGGCCATGAGTGAGCTGTGTCGGCCACAGGGCGCCCCCTGTTCCATGGCGCCCTGTGCGGTCGCACAGCTCGCACACCCCTAAGGCCGGCCCTGCATACCAGTTACTTTCATAATTCAGCATCACATTTATAGGGAATAATCCAGCACGGGGGATAGGGGGTATGACTAAGGCAGGCATATCATGGAATTAAACAATTGTCACCAATTAAAACAGCTATTACTGGTTAAATCTTGTACCTCCCTCTCTCCCATGGTTCTCAGTAATATGACCTCTAAGAATTTAATTTGAATAGTATAATATAAGTATAACATGTCTACAGCAGGCCTCTTAAAGGAACAGTATAGAAAAAGAACACTGTATTTTTTATTTTCTGGCTAGCACATTAAGCTCTGTGTGAACAGTCACATTTATGCTCAAAACAGAAGTGTCTGGGATTCCTTGCATTTCTGTAGCAGTTGAAAACCTGTGCTGTGCTTCCTAACTTTGTGCACGGCTGATTTCATGAACACTGAGTTTAGCGGGAGGGACAGAAAGGTTGCAGTGTGTAGGTACACGAACGCTGTGGGTGTAGCGAGAGGGCCAGAAAGAACGCTGTGAGTTTAGCAGAAGGGACAGAAAGGATGCTGTGCATAGGTACACAAATGCTGTGTGTGTAGCAGGAGGGACACAAAAGACGCTGTGCGCAGGTACACGAACTCTGTGAGTTTAGTGAGAGAGACAGAAAGGACATTGTGTGCAGGTACACAAATGCTTTGTGTGTAGCGGGAGGTACAGAAAGGACGCTGTGCACAGGTACACGAACGCTGTGTGTGTAGTGGGAGGGAGAGATTTTTCCACAGATTTTACCTGTTAACATTTTTAGCACAACAGCACCTGATGTCGTCATGTGTCTATCAGTGAGATGTAGAGGTGTTACCAAGATTCCAATACAGCAAAAAGAGGCGTTCCTGAGAATCCACTTCGATTGCTGTAGCAACATAACATTTACTATAATGGGATCCATGTCACTTAAGACAATGTCTTGGAAATGCTGTCAATTAATTTATTCTGTAAAAGAATATCGGAGAGTATCCAATCTATACACATCATAAACGGTGTAAAAATGTTTTATGGAAAAAAACAATGTTTTATCGTTACAACAATGATCAAAGATGCTGGGAGCATGAAAACCTGAAGACTGTTGGAGAACTTTGGTTCACTAATTTAAGGAAGAAATGCTCTACAATGCCCACAGTTTAATGGAGAGGGTGTTATGGGTAAATGCAAAAATTGTATTCCTCAAACTGTACACTTTTTCTTTAAGAGATATTGCAAACTGACAAGGTGTTAGAAATGGAACATATTGTTTTTCATAACTGTTTCTTTAAGCAATAACTTCTTACTTACCTTCAGTGCATATTATGTTTGCGTCATTTTGTCCCAGACGAAAAACAATAACAATAATGCATAAACAAGCTTCAAGGCTATGCTACGACTCTTTCAGTACATAATATACTGTGGTAACCCTAAATAGATAAAGATGTTCAGACTTTAAGATGCCATCTTGTCCTAAGTCAGGGAATTTCCCATGATGTGTGCACCCTTACGTTTTAGTTATGGCCTTGTATTTTTGCCAAGTTAAGGGTGGTCCTAAAATGAATAAAAATAAAAGAAGTGTTACTTTTTCATATATGAACTACGGTAATCCTAAAATGGAGACACCTAAGGTATAAATAGGTGTACTTTTAAATGTTAAGACACAGAGGAGAGATTTGGAGACAGACGCTGCTCCATCTTAAAATGACAGAGAGGCTGACATGATGACATGTTCAGGAGCGTATGTTTATCTGTTAAGATATTGCAAGCATCTAGTTTAATTTTATAAACTCTGCTATAAATTACTGTAATGGATTTTATATGTCTTTATTTATATTTTTATTTAATAAAATATCTAAAAGACAAAACTTTATTGCTTCTAAGACAATCCTTATTTTATATTGTATTCTCAATTATTTATATATGTTAAATATAGGACGCTGTGTGCAGGTACACGAATGCTGTGGGTGTAGCAGGAGTGATATAAAGGATGCTGTGAGAAGGTACACAAACGCTGTGAGTGTAGCGGGAGGGATATAAAGGACACACACACACACATTATATATACACATACATACAAATTAAAAAAAAATATTTGATGTTCTCACCCCTCCTGGGTGGTATATTTACTCTTCACTCTTGGGTCCTCTACCAGAGTTCTGGGAGTTTGGGGGTTCTACGCAGTATCTTATCTGTTCCTAGAACTGCACTCTTCTGGACAGCGATCTCAGATATCCCACCTGGAATCTGTTGAAGCCCCTCTCCCAACTTGGGAGTCACAGCCCCAAGTGCTCCTATCACAACTGGCACTACTACTGCCTTCACTTTCTACATCCTCTCTAGCTCTTCTTTCAGTCCTTGGTATTTGTCCACCTTCACATGTTCCTTCTTCCTGATGTTATAGTCACTGGGTATTACCACATCCACCACTACTGCAGTCTTTTGTTTCTTGTCTACCACCACGATGTCTGGTTGGTTGGCCAGCACTTGTCTGTATCTTAAAGTCCCACAGGATCTTAGTCCTGCCGTTCTCAACTACCCTTTGTGGTATCTCCCATCTGGACTTAGGGAGGTCCAATCCATATTCTGTGCAGATGTTTCGGTACACAATCCCAGCAACTTGGATGTGTATCTCCGTGTATGCTGTTCCTGCTAACATCTTGCATCTGTCTACTAGGTGCTGAACTATCTCAGAGGCCTCTTTGCAGAGTCTGCACCTTGGGTCTTGCCTGGTGTGATAGACTCCAGCTTCTATTGATCTGGTGCTGAGTGCCTACCCCATGGGGAGGTTTGTCTTGCCAAGGAACCTCCTCTTTTTCTGCATCGTCGATTTGTGGAAATCTCAGGCATTCCCTTAGCAGTTCATCTTCGTGATGCACTTGTGGATGCTCTGTGTCTCATCCAGGACTGTGGCCTTGACACTCATCAGGCCCCAACCTTCTTCCTTCCGGCAGGTGTACAGTCTCTGGGTGCTGGATTTTGGGTGTAATTCTCCATTCATAATGAGTAATTTCCAGGTTTTGACATCCATGGTGACTAGCACTTCTCTTGACCAGGTTTTTATTCCAGCTGGGTACCTGATTACTGGTAGGGCATATGTGTTGATGGCTTGGATCTTGTTCTTGCCATTGAGCTGAGACTTCAGGACCTGTCTGACTCTTTGGAGGTATTTGAATGTTGCTAACCTCCTTGACTCTTCCTCATGGTTGCCATGCGTTTGTGGTACCCCCAGGTACTTGTAGTTGTTCTCTACATCTTCTATTTGGCCTTCTGGAACTTCAGTTCCTTCTGTCCTGATCATCTTCCCTCTTTTTGCTATCATCTGCCCGCACTTCTCTAGTCCGAATGACATTCCGATGTCCTTGCTGTATATCCTAGTTAGGTGGATCAGTGAGTCAATGTCTTGCTCATTCTTGGCATACCGCTTGATGTCATCCATGTAGAGTAGGATAGAGATAGAGATAGAGATATACACACACACACACAGCTCCTTGATAAGCACACAATGCAACCCCAACACACATACACTCACAATGCAGCCCCAACATGCACACGCACACACTTTATAGGCCCTTTCAGCACACAGACACAATCTCAAAAACTCCTATACATGAGCGCGTGCTCACACTATACACTATATGCATGCTATACACACACACACTTCACCACACCCTCTTCCTGAAAAGGTTTTCCAGTTTCCATAAAAAGGTGTCTTGTCTGTAATAAGGAAGGCGTAGCGGTGGAACTACAGGGAGTGCTGGTGTTGCGGTTACACCAGGGTCCATCTAGTGGCCCGTGCAATTAGGCCCACCCGATGGGCATGTGTCTCTAGAGGCCCAAAACAGTTTTTGCACCAGGGCCCACTCTACGTTAGTTCCACCACTGTGCAGCAGCTTCCCGGCACACAAGCTCTGCCCCTGCATGGAAGATCGCCTCCCTGTACGCAAGCTCCGCCACCAATATCTGACTGAGACACACACTGACAGACACATACACACAAACACACATTTTCTCACACATTTTTTATTTTTTATTTTATTTCAAATCCACCCAGCCTTTGGGAGAGCTGAGGGGATCTTTCCCTGACATCCAGTGTGTCTCCTCTCAATCTTCCTGCAGTTTCTATCTGCTCCCCTGCGCGCTCTCTGTAGTGATGCCGGGGCCAGAGTGACGTCACGTCACTAAACAGTGCGCATGGCAGCAGAGAGGAACTGCAGGAAGGTTACTGCTCCTTCACGCCGGCTGCCTCCATGCTCCTCGCGGCGGCAGGCTTTACTGTTTCCTGCACGGCTTAGCAATGGACTGAAAAATGCCAGTCGCCAGGGCGAAATGTCTAGTCGCCATCGCAACCTGGCGCCTGGCATTTGTCAAGCCCTGTGTATGTATGTATATAGGTAGATAGATAAAATCCGTATCACTGGACTAATATGGCTACAATCTCTACTTAGAGATAGATACATACATACATAAATACACACATGATTTCTAACTGCCCTCCTACTTTTGTCCCTGGCCCCTTATGTGCCCCCCCTAAGTATGAATCCTGGATCCTGTATCACATTAACTCTGATCCTAATTCCTGTTCTCATGTCATTTCTTAATGCATTACAAAGATAAAATACAATGAACTGATAGGTAATAAACTCTTTCTTCAGTATACGATCAGTAGGATGTTCGCCATCAGTTTTCAAGAATAACAACGTCTCACAACAAAAACAGCAATGGTCAATTATGCGACTATTCTGTGATCAATTGAATTTGAACCAATTTTTGGACTGAATAACCAGGGTGTGACTATTATGCGGTGAAATACGGTATTTCTATTTGAAATTGTCACTTTAGTAAATAATGCTGTAAGTTGATTTGGAACACGTCTGAAGTTTCACTTATTTTAACTAAAATGTGAAATGCTCTCTGATCTGACAATTGACACTTTAGTGAGTAATCTGTGAGAATAACAGGTATCTTATGGATATAGAATCCGGGTTATTCACCAAACTCTGAAATTTTATTTAAATGGAAAAACTGAGCCACGAATTCTTCAACTCAGCCATAGTCACAAGCAGCTATTTTCAACTTAAACATTTCAAATAAATGCAACAGACTTTAAATAACAAAGTGAATCAGTATAACAGAAATCACAGTAATATTATTAGTTTAAGAAATAATAATAGCTAAGTGTAAGGTATTGTGCTGCTTGTGAAACGGTTAATGTTGCACTGAAATTCACGCTGTGTAGAACTCACTGAACAATAGTTATTGTTTTATAGAAATGTTGGGATGGGGGGGGTCTCCCCCTGCCCCTGGGCCCTGTGTAGCTGTAACTGCTTTAAAGAATGGCTCTCGACTCCCTCCTGATCCTCACAGCGATGGCTTGAATGATTGTATCTTCTCCTGACTCCTGACGTCAGCTGGAAGACAGGTAAGGAGACTATATAAGAGTGTGTTAAGCTTGTGGTTGTACATGGGGTTACAGCTTTCTCTAGAGCGTGCTGAGCGAAGGATCCTGTTACTGCCCACATCCAGGTAAATATACCCTTTATTACTTTATAACACAGCATTGGCTACTAAGACGAAGAATGGTAACACCACTTAGTACCACACAGGATTAACCCTATGTGGTCATAGGACAGCCCGAAAATAAAACTATTAACGCGTCTGCTCGTTTTTTCCAGCAGAAAGAATGTGTTGCCTGAACATGCCAGCCATACTACTTGTCCTGTCGCTGACAATTAGCTGTCGGAACGCGGCACCCATAGACAGGTGAGCACACAGTAATTAAAATACCTGAGCAACGGACAATGACGGGAAGAACTTGGTGAACTTGGTCTGTTTTGTTTTTTTCTCTCAGATTAAAATTAGATGGCACTTCCAATGGGACGTCTGAGAAGGGATGGAGAATAGACGTACAGGCCAGGTACACGTTCTTCATGCCAAGCCACCAAATGCCACAGCAGGATGCTACGAGAGAGAACAGGTACCGTACTGATTTTACATGACTTGTCTGCCAGTTGGAGGATGCACCCTAGCCCCCACCCGGGGAGCTCACCTTCCTGCCTTTATTATGTGTCTGCTGATATAGTGAACGGGTTAAATTATTAACCCTTCCCGTGCCGGGCATGGAGATATCGCAGACAGGTTATTATATAATACAATGTGTCTACTGATATACTGAATGGGTTAACTTATTAACCCTTTCCGTGCCAGGCATGGAGATATCACAGACAGGTTATTATATAATACAATGTGTGCTGACATACTGAATGGGTTAAATTCAACTGGTGAGGGATGATATTAACCCTTCCCATGCCAGGCATGGAGATATCGCAGACAGGTTATTAAATAATACAATGTGTCTGCTGATATACTGAATGGGTTAAATTATTAACCCTTTCCGTGCCAGGCATGGAGATATCACAGACAGGTTATTATATAATACAATGTGTGCTGACATACTGAATGGGTTAAATTCAACTGGTGAGGGATGATATTAACCCTTCCCGTGCCGGGCATGGAGATATCACAGACAGGTTATTAAATAATACAATGTGTCTGCTGATATACTGAATGGGTTAATATTAACCCTTCCCGTGCCGGGCATGGAGATATCACAGACAGGTTATTAAATAATACAAGGTGTCTGCTGATATACTGAATGGGTTAAATTATTAACCCCTCCCGTGCCAGGCATGGAGATATCACAGACGGGTTTTATATAATACAATGCGCCTGCTGATATACGGAACGGGTTAAATTAAACAAGCGAGGGATGATATTAACCCTTCCCGTGCCGGCATGGAGATATCGCAGACAGGTTATTATATAATACAATGTGTCTGCTGATATACTGAATGTGTTAAATTAAACAGGTGAAGTATGTTGTTAACCCTTCCCGTGCCGGGCATGGAGATATCACAGACGGGTTTTATATAATACAATGCGCCTGCTGATATACGGAACGGGTTAAATTAAACAAGCGAGGGATGATATTAACCCTTCCCGTGCCGGGCATGGAGATATCACAGACAGGTTATTATATAATACAATGTGTGCTGACATACTGAACGGGTAAGATTAATACAATGTGACAGGCGCTGGTGCGATAAAAAGCGTGAAATTAAAAGCTTCTTCTTTAAGGAAAATGATGCTAATTTCTCATTTACAGAACCGGTAATAATCCGTAAATAGAGAGACTGTCAGCCAGAAAGCTATGTTAACAGCACACTGCCACGGTATGGGTCAGTGATATACTCTAGGATTTTCTGCTAGATTAGATAGATCCTCAAGTAACAAGTAACAGCGTTATTTACTAGACTGAGAATTTAAAGTGAATTTTTAATGAAAGGCTTTCAGCCAAAACGTATCTATGTGCTCAAATTTGTGGGACTTTCATTATTTCTTCACCTCAATTTCCCCCATTTGCTCTGTGCCGTAGGTTTTCCCTTTAAGAGGAGATCGAGCTGTCGATTTTCAGCTTCTGTAATCATCTGTTGTACACATCTTTTAAGTGTACAAGTTAAAAATTTCAAACAGCTGAATTGGAGATACAATTCCAAATTTATTCTTGGGTCAAATTAACCCTTATATGAACAGCTAGGATATTGAGCATAATGGATATTCGCATCTACAGTAGTCAAGGCGAGAAAGGACAGTGGCGTGGAACAGTACCTTTGCCGCATCTGGTGTTAAGTAGGGGTGGATGAGTGCAATGTTTTTGAGATGGAAGCGGCATGATTTGGCAATAGACTCGACATGAGGGGTGAAGGAGAGGTCGGAATCAAAGAGTACGCCTAGGCAGGAAAGACCCAAAGTTTTGTTTTGAACAAGTTGAGCTTAAGGAAGTGGGCAGCCATCCAGTTAGAAATAGCAGAGAGGCAGTAAGAGACAGGAGTCAAGAGGGGCAGAGAGAGATCAGAGGAGGACTATATGTGAATGTAGCAGAATGAACCTTGGACTGTTACCCTTATTCCTGCTATGGGCTGTCCATAATTTGTCCCCCTTGATTTTCTATGTTTCGTGCTCATAGTTCCTGGATCATCTTGTTCTTTCCCCTGTCCGTCTAGCCGTTCGGTAAAATAGCAGCCACCTCACTTATTAACTGCGTCTTGTTTCGACAACCGAACAAATTACCGAACGCCAGACCACCCATATGTGGAGTGTGCTGTTTGTTAACCCCAGTAACCTCTGTTCACACCTCCACCAACCGCCATAACCTGAACATTTCAAGCAGTCAACTGGGTGGCTGCCGTTCGCATGTGCGAAAATGTGGCGGCGGCCATCTTTAGCCCCGAACAGAGTTAACTATAACCCGGTGGCGTTTCGGCAGTGTTCGTGGGATCTGAGCACTTTTCGGATATATTGGGCGATCAGACCCAGGTTATCCGGGGATATAGGACTTAAGGTGGTATCTTGTGGGGAACTGTATGTTTTGGGGTGATTATTATTATACATGTCCTGGACCTGAGAGTTAATATAATTATGTTGTGTGTTTTGTCTCAGTCTACTCTCAGGTCCAGTGGGGAATGCCCCTGGAATGTGTGTTTGGAAACCCCTTGCATGGGAATTTTCATAAAAGGCCTTGTGTGGGACTGGGATTTAGTAGAGGGGGTGACTGGGATTTAGTAGAGGGGGGTGACTGGGATTTAGTAGAGGGCGGGACTGGGATTTAGTAGAGGGGGTGCTGTGATTTAGTAGAGGGGGATGCTGGGTTTAGTTGTGGGGGACTGGGATTTAGTAGAGGGGGGTGCTGTGGTTTAGTAGTGGGGGGGACTGGGATTTAGTAGAGGGGTGCTGTGGTTTAGCTGTGGGGGACAGGGATTTAGTAGAGGGGGGTGCTGGTTTGGGGGACTGGGATTTAGCAGAGGGGGTGCTGTGGTTTAGTGGGGGGACTGGGATTTAGTAGAGGGGCTGGGATTTGAGGGGGCTGTGGTTTAGTAGAGGGGGGACTGGATTTAGTAGAGGGGGACTAAGATTTAGTAGAGGGGGGGATTTAGTAGAGGGGGTGCTGTAGTTTAGTAGAGGGGGTGCTGTAGTTTAGTAGAGGGGAGACTGGGATTTAGTAGAGGGGGGTGCTGTAGTTTAGTAGAGGGGGGTGCTGTGGTTTAGTAGAGGGGGGACTGGGATTTAGTAGATGGGGTGCTGTAGTTTAGTAGAGGGGGGTGCTGTCGTTTAGTAGAGGGGGATGCTGGGGTTTTTTTTATACTGTACTTTTCAAAATAAACCTACGTTTCTATGAAAATGTACGTTTTGTTGGTTTTTTTGCGGCCCTCATAAACTTAAACCTTGTTTATTTGGCCCTTGCCAGACTTTGAGTTTGCCATGCTTGCCTTAGAATATTCTACTTCATCCTGAGCATTTGTTGGAGAAACCAGCGGAGGAGAGTCCCGACTAGGACTCCGCTACAGTGAAGGAGGGGGGTATGGATTTTATGTGAAGGGGCCGGGGTGCAGGTTTTTTATGTGTGGGAAGGGGGGTGGGCAGGCGCTGCAATGTTTTTATGTAAAGAGGGTGAATGCATTTTATGGAACGGGTTGCAGGGTTTTTATGTGAAGGGGGTGCATTAATTTTATGAAAGGGGGTATGGGTTTTTTTGTGAAGGGGAGGTGCAGGGGTTTTGTATAAGGGGGCAGGACAGGATTTTTTTAGAATGAGGAAGGGCAGGGTTTTTTGTGGAAGGGGGCAGAGAATTTGTGGACGGGGGTGCGGGGGTTTTGTATAAGGGGGAAGGACAGTGGGTTCGTATAATGGGAGGGACGACAATGGTTTTATTTCTAAGTTATTTTTCATAGTTCTAGTGTTTTCAAGTTGATATACAATTTACAAATTTGTGCAACAAATATTCTTTAAAATATATATTTTTTAAATTGTGAGTATTTTTTACATTTTAAAGCGGGGGGAGGCGGAGAGGGGTACCAAACACAGGATCTGCCCTGGGTGCCAAATTGCTCTAGGTACGCCCCTGGCTGTTTGCACTTTTCATCTACTGTTTAATATTCAATTACTGGATGAATAAATCTATTTAATATTCAATTACTGGATGAATAAATCTATTTTATATTCAAACTTTCTGGTGTGCTTTGAGTTATTACTTTTTCACGTGCATTGCATCTGGTGGGGATACAGAGTTTCCCCGTTAAGCACCCAATATCCTTTTTCTACCACACTTTCACCCATATAAAAGTTGAGCACTCATTATATAATTGTATTTGCAAATATTGTCTACTTTTGCCATGGTGGGGTTAATGCTCATTCCTGGGTTACCATACGGTCTCACAGACAATATAACCAGCCTGGCATATTTCAATGTGTATAACCTGAAAATTTAACATATTTGACTGCAACTTCCCAAAACACCATAAAGCCTGTACATAGAGGGTACTGTTGTACTGATGAGACATCGCTAAATCCAAATATGTGCATTTTATTGCTGTAACAGTATTATGACATTCACAGTTAAAATGGCACGTAGAACTAAAAAATAACATTTCGTAATTTCTCACACTTTTTAATATTTTTTTAATATTAAATTGTTTCATATATGAATATTTAATGTGCAATGAAAGCCTTGTTTCTCCTGAATAAAATGCTATTTGATACGTGTGGGTGCACTTAATATGAAAGAGGTGAATTATGGATGTACAGACTAACAGACATCTAGTCAAATTACAGGTTTTTTTTATGTGGCGCGTCTGCTGCCTAACTGTGAATTTCCCTTTCCCTACGTGTGGATGTGCCCTCCTGGAATGTATGATCCCCCTTTGTAATTCTCTCCCTTTCGTTAATATTGACCTTAAAACATGCAAAATACCTTTTAACCACCCTGATACCCCATTTAGAATGTTTAGTTAGAATGTGAAAACCACAGACCGCAAGCTTCAACCACGTGGGGCACTGTGTGAAACCCACAGACCACAAGGGAAAAAGCTCCCCACCAGGGGGAGCATTCGTCTCCCGAACCGGCCTGCGCGCACCTTCTTCGATCCCCGTGTCGGGGATCGTCCTACCTGTTCCCCAAAGGAGCTATAATCACTGTTACTCCCCCTACCTGGCAGCTGCAAGGCTAGGCTCATAGCTGCCCAGGAGTACGCTCTTTGGCGGATACCTGAGGGGGGTATCCACCGGAGATAGGGACGCGCGCCACCAGGGAATCTCTGGAGCTGTAAGTCGGTCTCACGGCTGCAGGCTCCCGCTGGCTGAATTCTCACGGACAGACAAGCTCATTGATACACATTCTCACAGACAGACGAGCTCATTCATACACATTCTAACGGACAGACAAGCTCATTCATACACATTCTCACGGACAGACAAGCTCATTGATACACATTCTCACAGACAGACGAGCTCATTCATACACATTCTCACAGACAGACGAGCTCATTCATACACATTCTCACGGAAAGACAAGCTCATTGATACACATTCATATCTATAAAGTTTTATTGAAGTAACAATGTTAAAGGAACACTGTAGGCACTTTAACAACTTAATCTAAGTTGTTAGAGTCACCTAAATATATTCATCCTCTTATTTTTCAAATCATTTTTTTTTCTTTATGAAGGCTTTGAAGAGAGGCTTTAAGCCACACACCCAAAACCAGCCAATTCTGAGAGCCGGGAATGTAACTTCCCTGCTCTCATACCCAATCATACTTTGACGTCAGCACGCAAAACTGACGTAAGGTATAATTTTGCTGCCTAATGCTCGCTCACACGATATCAGAAATCCATCTATTTATTTGTCAGCAAGACGAATGAATGAATAGAAATTTCACACAAACAAACAAAGACCCAATGTTGGTGTTCGTTTGTTCGTTTATTACAAGAATGGAGCTGCTGGCTCGCAGCTCCCTCCTTGTAATATGTAAAAATAGAAGTGGCAGGAGCAGTGCTCCCCGCCACTTCCTAACCCCCCTCACCCTATGGGGGTCAATAAGACCCCTATATTAGCATAAGGGAGATTAAAATCTCCCGAAAGGCCACCACTCGCCTTGCCGCAAGTAGGGGCATATCTACTAAACAGTGACCACTGTGGTGAATCCCCCATCTATTAACTAACCCCCAATGTTACTGTCATGTGATATCAGTAATGTTTCATTGATGTAACAATGTTAACGGCATGTGATATCAGTAACGTTTTATTGAAGTGACAATATTAACAGCATGTGATATCAGTAACGGTTTATTGATGTAACAATGTTAATGTCATGTGATATCAGTAACGTTTGATTGAAGTGACAATGTCATGTGATATCATTATCACGCTGTTAGGATAGCAGACAGTGTAACTGTTCATTTCACGTGATATCATGAGGGCCTAAAGCGTGTGTGACAGTCACTGTGCTTGCGCAACAGGTTGCCCATCTTGAAGGAGGTGGCCAGCTCTTCTGAGAAATTTCAGTGACTTACTAGTAACTTATACAACTAAAATGTATCTTAGTTACAGACTGATTTCTAAACACATTATTATTGCTGTGGAGCTCTGTTATACACCCAGACACATTACTGGGAGTATTATTGCTGTGGAGCTCTGTTATACACCCAGACACATTACTGGGAGTATTATTGCTGTGGAGCTCTGTTATACACTCAGACACATTACTGGGAGTATTATTACTGTGGAAGCTCTGTTATACACTCAGACACATTATTGGGAGTATATTGCTGTGGAGCTCTGTTATACACTCTGACACATTACTGGGAGTATTATTGCTGTGGAGCTCTGTTATACACTCAGACACATTACTGGGAGTATTATTGCTGTGGAGCTCTGTTATACACTCAGACACATTACTGGGAGTATTATTGCTGTGGAGCTCTGTTATACACTCAGACACATTACTGGGAGTATTATTGCTGTGGAGCTCTGTTATACACTCAGACACATTACTGGGAGTATTATTGCTGTGGAGCTCTGTTATACACTCATACACATTACTGGGAGTATTATTGCTGTGGAGCTCTGTTATACACTCATACACATTACTGGGAGTATTATTGCTGTGGAGCTCTGTTATACACTCATACACATTACTGGGAGTATTATTGCTGTGGAGCTCTGTTATACACTCAGACACATTACTGGGAGTATTATTGCTGTGGGCTCTGTTATACACTCAGACACATTACTGGGAGTATTATTGCTGTGGAGCTCTGTTATATGTTATACACAGACTCATTACTGGGAGTATTATTGCTGTGGGGCTCTGTTATACACTCAGACACATTACTGGGAGTATTATTGCTGTGGAGCTCTGTTATACACTCAGACACATTACTGGGAGTATTGTTGCTGTGGAGCTCTGTTATACACTCAGACACATTACTGGGAGTATTATTGCTGTGGAGCTCTGTTATACACTCAGACACATTACTGGGAGTATTATTGCTGTGGGGCTCTGTTATACACTCAGACAGATTACTGGGAGTATTAACGCTGTGGAGCTCTGTAATATGTTATACACAGACACATTACTGGGAGTATTATTGCTGTGGAGCTCTGTTATACACTAAGACACATTACTGGGAGTATTATTGCTGTGGAGCTCTGTAATACACTCAGACACATACTGGGAGTATTATTACTGTGGAGCTCTGTTATACACTCAGACACATTACTGGGAGTATTATTGCTGTGGAGCTCTGTTATACACTCAGTCACATTACTGGGAGTATTATTGCTGTGGAGCTCTGTTATACACTCAGACACATTACTGGGAGTATTATTGCTGTGGAGCTCTGTTATACACTCAGACACATTACTGGGAGTATTATTGCTGTGGAGCTCTGTTATACACTCAGACACATTACTGGGAGTATTATTGCTGTGGAGCTCTGTTATACACTCAGACACATTACTGGGAGTATTATTGCTGTGTAGCTCTGTTATACACTCAGACACATTACTGGGAGTATTATTGCTGTGGAGGTCTGTATACACTCAGACACATTACTGGGAGTATTATTGCTGTGGAGCTCTGTTATACACTCAGACACATTACTGGGAGTATTATTGCTGTGGAGCTCTGTGATACACTCAGACACATTACTGGGAGTGTTATTGATGTGGAGCTCTGTTATACACAGAGACATACTGGGAGTATTATTACTGTGAAGCTCTGTTATACACTCAGACACATTACTGGGAGTATTATTGATGTGGAGCTCTGTGATACACTCAGACACATTACTGGGAGTATTATTGCTGTGGAGCTCTGTTATACACTCAGACACATTACTGGGAGTATTATTGCTGTGGAGCTCTGTTATACACTCAGACATTACTGGGAGTATTATTGCTGTGGAGCTCTGTTATACACTCAGGCACATTACTGGGAGTATTATTACTGTGGAGCTCTGTGATACACTTAGACACATTACTGGGAGTGTTATTGCTGTGGAGCTCTGTTATACACAGAGACATACTGGGAGTATTATTACTGTGGAGCTCTGTGATACACTCAGACACATTACTGGGAGTATTATTGCTGTGGAGCTCTGTTATACACTCAGACACATTACTGGGAGTATTATTGCAGTGGAGCTCTGTTATACACTCAGGCACATTACTGGGAGTATTATTACTGTGGAGCTCTGTTATACACTCAGACACATTACTGGGAGTATTATTGCTGTGGAGCTCTGTGATACACTCAGACACATTACTGGGAGTGTTATTGCTGTGGAGCTCTGTTATACACAGCAACAATATGGGTTCCAGCTTTCCTCGGCCCTAAATAAGCGATATTGTCACCATGCCATACAGACATGTTCTAACTTGTTCTATTTTCATGATTTATATTTATTTATTTTTCTACAGACACCAAATGGAAAAAAGGAAATGTAACACAGCGACTTGCGTCACGCAGCGTCTAGCGGATTTTCTAGTTCGATCCCACAGCAATATTGGAACAATATACAGACCGACCAACGTGGGTTCGTACACGTACGGGAAGAGGAACGTGGTTGGCGTTTTAAGCAGAGAATCTTTTGACTATCTGCAACACTAGCTCATTCTACAGAAAGTCAAAACGCGTCCGTTTCTCCCAGTCCTTCTGATTTTCCCTCCCCCCACGCATTCTAACAGTGCCTTGGTTTCAATGCTCACACGTTCTCATGGCTTGTTTACCATTAAACTCTGAAACACAGAAACATTGGTTTTAACTGAAGGGGCTGTTAAATCATATATTGCCCCCAAATTTGAAAAAGGCAAAAAGTATGTCTGCAAAAAAAAATAAAAAAATAAAGTATGTTGCTGCAAGTTTTATTATATATAATTGTTTATTAAAAAAAATATTGAAAATGGACCGTGTGCATGACATTACTGTTTAAACTGTGCTATTTAATAATATTGAGCAAATTCACAGATTTTTCCCACAATTTAGAAGGCATGTCTGGAGAGCATGACCCACCCCGTGTAAGTCAGGATGTTTTGGTTCACAAACTGAATTCATCTTCCAGATTTTGGCTGCAAAAAGGAGGTAAACAGAAAGGCGTTAAATAACAGCCCCCTCCCCAGTATTTAACACGTTAATACCAGGAGGGCCACTACTGTAGCACACAGAGACAACCCAACAAAGAAAAACATTTTAAAACAATTCGATGGTTTACTAAATGTTGTGGTTTAAATTCAGCAGACAGCAATGTTTTCTCTCAGGTATGAAGACAAGGAATGGACACAGCAGAAATACGAGCTCGGAGGGCAGTACTCATTCACACAAGTGTATGGCAGAATACTACACCTAATTTTAATGGGGAAGACACAGATCTTATAACAAAATTCTATACACATCCAAAAGGGGTTGTCTTCACATAATACAGTCATGTCCTGTCAATTGCATATTAAAAGAACTTAAAGCACATTTGGCATTAGCTGGTCAAAAGGTGTTACTTAATTAAACAAACACTTCCCAACAAGGTGTTATCAGGATATGCAGTGCAGGGGGGGAAACAAGAAGAAGATACAAATCAGGATCAAAGGCCAGCTGTTATAATAGAGCATCCTGACATTACTAAATCTACTGTGTAGTGTGACACAGGATATAAGGGGAAAGGTGCTCATTAATCCATATCATTCCAATCTTTTATTCTGAAAGAATAACAAATCAGTAAATTAATTAATTGTCTATTATAGCACTCAGGGAAGAAAAAAAACTTCAGAACCGTTATTTCTGAAGAAAATCTCCGGGGAGCCATGGCTATAATAAGACCGTCCCTCCCTCCTGGACGAATTAAGGTTTATTAAACAATTAGTTAAATTTAGGGCTTGGTATAAATTCTTTACAGATCCAATAAAATGATTGTCTGTTTCCCATGATGAAGAAGATAAAGCCTGCTTAGAGTGAAATATATTAATAACAAATTTTACTATCACTGTTCTTTGGGATCAAATAATATTAATCAGCGCATAACCAAGTCCCATGGAAAAAAGAATAATTAGGGTGCACCGAGCACTATTGTTCATTCTGGATCAGTCTGAGGTTGATCTTCTTTGCTTGGAATATCCAGAGTGCTTGATGGGACATCTTTTTAATCTGCTTGCATGATTCCATATCTGGTTCTCCTCGGTCAGAACGGCTCTTCTGGTGATGGCAACAACGGTTGTCAGAGGGCTGTACGTTGGATCAAAGGTTCCGGATTTGAAGAGGGATTTCACCAAGACTTTGTCTCCAGGCCTGAAAGGATGTGTGGTTGTACCTGAAGGATGAGGAAGAGATAGAGACAAATCACCATAGATGCCATTCAATGTGTCTACAAGGTTCAATACATATAACACAACATTTAGGTCTCCGCTCACCATCGGAGCACCTTTGGACTTACACCGTGAAGTTGGAAAAGGTCTCCCCATTAAAATTTCAAATGGTGAATAACCCGTAGTGGAACTAGGGGTCATTCTGATCTCAGCTAAAACTGCTGGCAAATTGTCTGGCCAATTGCGTGTGCTACCCAAGTCTCCTTTTGTCAATTTCTCCTTGATCGTTCTATTCATCTTTTCTACTTGCCCTGATGACTGAGGGTGATAGGGTATATGAAATTTCCAATCTATACTCAACATTTTACAAACCTGCTGTGTAACTGCTGAAGTGAACGAAGTTTATTTATCACTATTAATCATAAATGGACAACCAAAACATGTCTACAATACAAGTAAATAATTGAGTCCACCTTTTGCCGTTGTCATATGCATGAAGTCAGTTTGTAAAATTAACATTGGACCTTAAACTGGAGGTAACTGTGGTTTGGTAGTACATGTTAAGCACCTGGATAAAAATATTGGTAACTGTCTGATCTAACCTGTTAATTACAAATAGTTTACTTAGCTTAGCCAATACCCCTCTTCGTCCGACATGTCCATAACATGGAACTGTCGGACGAGTAACACAGAAAAAACTTGAGGGATTGCTATGCAACCTTTATGATCCTTGAGGATACCAGAACTTGCATCAGGTGTAACAGAATGTTTATTCCAGTAAGCTAAGTCATCCGAAGATGATGCAGCCTGCATAGAAAGAATATCAGTATCATCAGTATCATCAGTATGAGTGGCTATATGCAGTTAAGACCTGGTCAAAAGAAACAGTACTGTAATCTCTCCATAAAGGAAAAGAGGCAGCTGCCCTTTTCGCCACCAAATCTGCAAAATCATTACCATCCCTGACCATGGAGTGATCTGTATCATGGCCCTTGCACTTCACAATAGCTAAAGATCTAGGTAACAGTATGGCCCTCAATAATCCATCAATTAATGCAAAATGAGAAACAGTTCGACCATCAGCTGCAACAAAGCCTCTAGCCTGCCAAATGACACCAAAATCATGAACCACTCCAAAGGCATATCTCAAATCAGTATAAATAGTCACATCTTGATCTTTAAAAGCAATACAAGCTTGTGTAAGAGCAATAAACTCCGCCTGCGCTGAGACGAAAGGTTAAGAACCTGCAGCTATTACACTATTAGGTATTTGTACAACTGCAAAACCACAAAGGAAAATAAACCAATAACTGATTTAAAAATTCTGACACAAAATCTTGCTCAGCCCAAAATACACAGAACCAACCTACATCAGTACCAGGTCTATCATATTTAGTGTCCAAATTAAGAGCCATTTCTGTTGGTGAAATTTCAGCATATTTAAAAACAACAGACAATAAAAAAACAAAAATCTGCCCCTCCAAACTGTTGATCCATTGTTACTCTTTTTAAATAATTAATAGCGCCTTCTGGAAGCTTAAACGGATCAGGACACTGAGTCCTAAGAGACACCAAATGTGATCCATAGGGAGGCTTAATTATAACAGTCTCACCAGCAACTACAAAAGGATAGGCAGAAGCAGACACATGACTGGGAACTAGTACACCATGACTCTTATAACCCTCATCCACCACTAAAACACTATGAACACTGCACCAACATCCACAGACGTTCTAGTCACTTTCTTATTTTTTTTTTTCATACCAACATCAACATTTTCTGCAGTGGATCTCACCATTGCAGAAGGATTCACAACCATCTATCCAACATGCCTTTTCCCTCTACCAATCGCCATAAAAGTTTCATCAGTATCAATATTCCGAAAAATCTTTTTTTAATTCATCCAAACTGGGATATAATGGTACAACAAAAAGCACATAAGCAGGTGATGCTGCAGAAGCCTGAACATACTTTGTAGTCTGATCAGGAACAAACCATAACTGCGAATACTTTAACCATCCTGTAGCTGCATTATGCATATACTTTTTATCCCATTTTGGATCTCCACCTGGACCCCACTTTTTAAAACCTTTAATACACATACCTTTCAGCATTTGCAAATGAAAATCACTAAAAGAACCCTCTCTTGGCCATGGATTACAAATCATTGTATCAAAATTATCTGACCATACAACTAAATTTGTACAAAATGGCTCAGCATAGTAATTTCCAATAGTTTCTTGAACAAAATGGCATGGGGTTTGGCCTAATCGAGGACCCTGAGACTTGACTTGGGGAGTACGTGACGCAGCACTATTAGGGACATCTTTAGATGATTTAAATTTTACAGAATTTTGTTGGGAATTATTATTATTATTATTTTTTTTTTTTTTGTTTTTTTTTTTATTTTTTTTTTTACCATTACTGGAGCCCATTTCCAACTTCACACAGATAACACTTTACAATATATAAGCAATGCACACTTTTTTAAAACAATACAACTATACATGCAGCGCTGCAATAAACAAAAATAAGATTTATTCTACTGTGTCCAAACTGTGCATTCAATATAGTGACTAAAAGTGGTCACTCAGTGGGACTGCTATACCCACTATATACAACTTACCGGTAAGATGGGACTCTACCCATAAAATATAAATGTTTCTCTTATACAACTTAACATGGGACTCTAACCCAAACTTAACATGGGACTCTAACCCAAACTTAACATGGGACTCTAACCCAAACTTAACATGGGACTCTAACCCAAACTTAATATGGGACTCTAACCCAAACATAACATGGGATTCTAACCCAAACATAACATGGGATTCTAACCCAAACTTTATATGGGACTCTAACCCATACTTATCATGGGACTCTAACCCATACTTATCATGGGACTCTAACCCATACTTAACGTGGGACTCTAACCCGTACTTATCATGGGACTCTAACCCGTACTTATCATGGGACTCTAACCCATACTTATCATGGGACTCTAACCCATACTTATCATGGGACTCTAACCCATATTTATCATGGGACTCTAACCCATACTTATCATGGGACTCTAACCCATACTTATCATGGGACTCTAACCCATACTTATCATGGGACTCTAACCCATACTTATCATGGGACTCTAACCCAAACTTAATATGGGACTCTAACCCAAACATAACATGGGATTCTAACCCAAACTTTATATGGGACTCTAACCCATACTTATCATGGGACTCTAACCCGTACTTATCATGGGACTCTAACCCATACTTATCATGGGACTCTAACCCATACTTATCATGGGACTCTAACCCATACTTATCATGGGACTCTAACCCATACTTATCATGGGACTCTAACCCATACTTATCATGGGACTCTAACCCATACTTATCATGGGACTCTAACCCATACTTATCATGGGACTCTAACCCATACTTATCATGGGACTCTAACCCATACTTATCATGGGACTCTAACCCATACTTATCATGGGACTCTAACCCAAACTTAATATGGGACTCTAACCCAAACATAACATGGGATTCTAACCCAAACTTTATATGGGACTCTAACCCATACTTATCATGGGACTCTAACCCGTACTTATCATGGGACTCTAACCCATACTTATCATGGGACTCTAACCCATACTTATCATGGGACTCTAACCCGTACTTATCATGGGACTCTAACCCATACTTATCATGGGACTCTAACCCATACTTATCATGGGACTCTAACCCGTACTTATCATGGGACTCTAACCCATATTTATCATGGGACTCTAACCCATATTTATCATGGGACTCTAACCCGTACTTATCATGGGACTCTAACCCATATTTATCATGGGACTCTAACCCTATCATGGGACTCTAACCCGTACTTATCATGGGACTCTAACCCATATTTATCATGGGACTCTAACCCATATTTATCATGGGACTCTAACCCATACTTATCATGGGACTCTAACCCATTTATCATGGGACTCTAACCCATATTTATCATGGGACTCTAACCCGTACTTATCATGGGACTCTAACCCGTACTTATCATGGGACTCTAACCCGTACTTATCATGGGACTCTAACCCATATTTATCATGGGACTCTAACCCGTACTTATCATGGGACTCTAACCCATACTTATCATGGGACTCTAACCCATATTTATCATGGGACTCTAACCCATACTTATCATGGGACTCTAACCCATACTTATCATGGGACTCTAACCCATATTTATCATGGGACTCTAACCCATACTTATAACAAAAACAAAAAGAAAGGCAAAACAAAAACAAGAAAACATTACTTTTCTGCAACCACAAAATTTTGTTCAGAGAATCCAAACAGGGCAAAGAACACAAAAATAAAACACAAAATGTTCTTACCCGATTTGGATTCTCTCTCCACTTCTGACACCATATTGTTGTGTTTTAAATTCAGCAGACAGCAATGTTTTCTCTCAGGTATGAAGACAAGGAATGGACACAGCAGAAATACGAGCTCGGAGGGCAGTACTCATTCACACAAGTGTATGGCAGAATACTACACCTAATTTTAATGGGGAAGACACAGATCTTATAACAAAATTCTGTACACATCCAAAAGGGGTTGTCTTCACATAATACAGTCATGTCCTGTCAATTGCATATTCAAAGAACTTAAATCACATTTGGCATTAGCTGGTCAAAAGGTGTTACTTGATTAAACAAACACTTCCCAACAAGGTGTTATCAGGATATGCAGTGCAGGGGGGGAAACAAGAAGAAGATACAAATCAGGATCAAAGGCCAGCTGTTATAATAGAGCATCCTGACATTACTAAATCTACTGTGTAGTGTGACACAGGATATAAGGGGAAAGGTGCTCATTAATCCATATCATTCCAATCTTTTATTCTGAAAGAATAACAAATCAGTAAATTAATTAATTGTCTATTATAGCACTCAGGGAAGAAAAAAAACTTCAGAACCGTTATTTCTGAAGAAAATCTCCGGGGAGCCATGGCTATAATAAGACCGTCCCTCCCTCCTGGACGAATTAAGGTTTATTAAACAATTAGTTAAATTTAGGGCTTGGTATAAATTCTTTACAGATCCAATAAAATGATTGTCTGTTTCCCATGATGAAGAAGATAAAGCCTGCTTAGAGTGAAATATATTAATAACAAATTTTACTATCACTGTTCTTTGGGATCAAATAATATTAATCAGCGCATAACCAAGTCCCATGGAAAAAAGAATAATTAGGGTGCACCGAGCACTATTGTTCATTCTGGATCAGTCTGAGGTTGATCTTCTTTGCTTGGAATATCCAGAGTGCTTGATGGGACATCTTTTTAATCTGCTTGCATGATTCCATATCTGGTTCTCCTCGGTCAGAACGGCTCTTCTGGTGATGGCAACAACGGTTGTCAGAGGGCTGTACGTTGGATCAAAGGTTCCGGATTTGAAGAGGGATTTCACCAAGACTTTGTCTCCAGGCCTGAAAGGATGTGTGGTTGTACCTGAAGGATGAGGAAGAGATAGAGACAAATCACCATAGATGCCATTCAATGTGTCTACAAGGTTCAATACATATAACACAACATTTAGGTCTCCGCTCACCATCGGAGCACCTTTGGACTTACACCGTGAAGTTGGAAAAGGTCTCCCCATTAAAATTTCAAATGGTGAATAACCCGTAGTGGAACTAGGGGTCATTCTGATCTCAGCTAAAACTGCTGGCAAATTGTCTGGCCAATTGCGTGTGCTACCCAAGTCTCCTTTTGTCAATTTCTCCTTGATCGTTCTATTCATCTTTTCTACTTGCCCTGATGACTGAGGGTGATAGGGTATATGAAATTTCCAATCTATACTCAACATTTTACAAACCTGCTGTGTAACTGCTGAAGTGAACGAAGTTTATTTATCACTATTAATCATAAATGGACAACCAAAACATGTCTACAATACAAGTAAATAATTGAGTCCACCTTTTGCCGTTGTCATATGCATGAAGTCAGTTTGTAAAATTAACATTGGACCTTAAACTGGAGGTAACTGTGGTTTGGTAGTACATGTTAAGCACCTGGATAAAAATATTGGTAACTGTCTGATCTAACCTGTTAATTACAAATAGTTTACTTAGCTTAGCCAATACCCCTCTTCGTCCGACATGTCCATAACATGGAACTGTCGGACGAGTAA